AGGCCGTCTGCTGCTCTTCAGGACAGAGGTTGCGTGCACTTTACCCTCCCGTTCCTAAGCAACCGGTATTTTAAGATTAAATACTTCCTGTGCTGTCCACTTACTCCGAGCCGCGACTGAATCACCGGAGGTTCGCTGGCGCTCCGTTTGAGGTCCCTCTGCTCCTCGGTGGATCCGGGGGAAGGTCGCCGCGGACCTGGAAGACCCATGATTCCAGAGGGCTGAATCGTCACGCCAACGCCGTTCAGGATGAGCTGGAGGACCGCGCGACACCTCAAGAGGAGGAGGGAGACTTTCCCGTTTGTGGATCAGGTAGAGGGATCGGCTCCGGGGATCGGAGGGGAATATTATCCCGGCGAGATCTTGTCCTCCGCTGGTGGATGTTTGTAGCGGTGGGATTATTTTCTGGATCAACTGGGGTGTGTGTGTCGGCGGGGCGGGGGGGGTGCTCTTTACTTATTGTTTGCACTACGATTCTCCTTCATAAGGTTTTACGCCGGCCAGGTCATAAAATAATCAATAGACAATTGCACAATAAATGAGGGTGTAATGATATTGATTATTTATCAGGTTGCCGTCTTCGGGATCGGGGAAAATCTGAAAGTTTCCCGGGCTGGGATATCCCCCCCCCACCCCCCCCCTTCAGGATGACATCACAGAGCTGACAAAACTTTAGGCTGTCATTCAGCAATTATGTTTCAAGTGATTTCAATTGAACAAACAAGAGAATAATAATAATAATAACAAAAGTTTATGTGTATAAACCAAATGTGTATCATAAATAATTGTCATTTTTTTATATAAAATCCTTTGTTTTCCTCCTTTTGTTCCATCTTTTAGATTGTAAGCCCTCAGGGGCAGGGCCCTCCTTACCATCTTGTCAGGAATTGTATTGTGATTGGAATGTCTTCCTTATATTGTAAAGCGCTGCACAAACTATTGGTGCTATATAAATCCTGTATAATAATAATAATCTCAGTGCTGCTGATCCACTGCAGCCACTTCCTGTGTATATCCACCCCACCGATGACTGCATGGCAGAGCGGGTTTCCTGATGGTGACAACAGCGGACCATGTCTGTGGAATGTGTGTCGCACTGGGCTCTTTTGACAACGCAGGAGCACGATTGGGAAAGGGTGACAGAGCGTTGCCTCCCTATAGCAGGAAGTGGCTTTCATGATTATTTTAAGGAAAGCTGCAGATTTAGGATTTTTGTAATGACATTTATATGGGGAAGGTTCTATGAGATTTTACTGATGGGGTAACTATAATTTGAGTGTGAAGGTGATTACTCTGTTGTTAGTATTCGTGGTGTGTGAGTACCCCGGGAGGGTGACATTTTCTATCCAGAGACTTCCCTTTGTCAGGACCCCTTTATCTGCATAAATATTTCTCCTGACAGACACCCAGAATATTGTTATTTTATCTGTTTTCAGGAATTTATTCCCAGCACTCCGACATTTGTCTGTAAGGAAAAGTGTCCACGTGAAGGTCCTGTGCTCCTACTTTATTCCTCCCGTCCTGTGCTCCTACTTTATTCCTCCCTTCCTGTGCTCCTACTTTATTCCTTTGGTCCTGTGCTCCTACTTTATTCCTCCCGTCCTGTGCTCCTACTTTATTCCTTTGGTCCTGTGCTCCTACTTTATTCCTCCCGTCCTGTGCTTATACTTTACTCCTCCCGTCCTGTGCTTATACTTTACTCCTCCCGTCCTGTGCTTATACTTTACTCCTCCCATCCTGTGTTCCTACTTTACTCCTCCCATCCTGTGCTCCTACTTTACTCCTCCTGTCCTGTGCTCCTACTTTACTCCTCCCGTCTTGTGCTCCTACTTTACTCCTCCCGTCCAGTGCTCCTACTTTACTCCTCCCGTCCTGTGCTCCTACTTTACTCCTCCTGTCCTGTGCTCCTACTTTACTCCTCCTGTCCTGTGCTCCTACTTTACTCCTCCTGTCCTGTGCTCCTACTTTACTCCTCCTGTCCTGTGCTCCTACTTTACTCCTCCTGTCCTGTGCTCCTACTTTACTCCTCCTGTCCTGTGCTCCTACTTTACTCCTCCTGTCCTGTGCTCCTACTTTACTCCTCCTGTCCTGTGCTCCTACTTTACTCCTCCTGTCCTGTGCTCCTACTTTACTCCTCCTGTCCTGTGCTCCTACTTTACTCCTCCTGTCCTGTGCTCCTACTTTACTCCTCCTGTCCTGTGCTCCTACTTTACTCCTCCTGTCCTGTGCTCCTACTTTACTCCTCCTGTCCTGTGCTCCTACTTTACTCCTCCTGTCCTGTGCTCCTACTTTACTCCTCCTGTCCTGTGCTCCTACTTTACTCCTCCTGTCCTGTGCTCCTACTTTACTCCTCCTGTCCTGTGCTCCTACTTTACTCCTCCTGTCCTGTGCTCCTACTTTACTCCTCCTGTCCTGTGCTCCTACTTTACTCCTCCTGTCCTGTGCTCCTACTTTACTCCTCCTGTCCTGTGCTCCTACTTTACTCCTCCTGTCCTGTGCTCCTACTTTACTCCTCCTGTCCTGTGCTCCTACTTTACTCCTCCTGTCCTGTGCTCCTACTTTACTCCTCCTGTCCTGTGCTCCTACTTTACTCCTCCTGTCCTGTGCTCCTACTTTACTCCTCCTGTCCTGTGCTCCTACTTTACTCCTCCTGTCCTGTGCTCCTACTTTACTCCTCCTGTCCTGTGCTCCTACTTTACTCCTCCTGTCCTGTGCTCCTACTTTACTCCTCCTGTCCTGTGCTCCTACTTTACTCCTCCTGTCCTGTGCTCCTACTTTACTCCTCCTGTCCTGTGCTCCTACTTTACTCCTCCTGTCCTGTGCTCCTACTTTACTCCTCCTGTCCTGTGCTCCTACTTTACTCCTCCTGTCCTGTGCTCCTACTTTACTCCTCCTGTCCTGTGCTCCTACTTTACTCCTCCTGTCCTGTGCTCCTACTTTACTCCTCCTGTCCTGTGCTCCTACTTTACTCCTCCTGTCCTGTGCTCCTACTTTACTCCTCCTGTCCTGTGCTCCTACTTTACTCCTCCTGTCCTGTGCTCCTACTTTACTCCTCCTGTCCTGTGCTCCTACTTTACTCCTCCTGTCCTGTGCTCCTACTTTACTCCTCCTGTCCTGTGCTCCTACTTTACTCCTCCTGTCCTGTGCTCCTACTTTACTCCTCCTGTCCTGTGCTCCTACTTTACTCCTCCTGTCCTGTGCTCCTACTTTACTCCTCCCGTCCTGTGCTCCTACTTTATTCCTCCGGTCCTGTGCTCCTACTTTATTCCTCCCGTCCAGTGCTCCTACTTTATTCCTCCCGTCCTGTGCTCCTACTTTACTCCTCCCGTCCTGTGCTCCTACTTTACTCCTCCCGTCCTGTGCTCCTACTTTACTCCACCAGCCCTGTGCTCCTACTTTACTCCTCCCGCCCTGTGCTCCTACTTTACTCCTCCCGCCCTGTGCTCCTACTTTACTCCTCCCGCCCTGTGCTCCTACTTTATTCCTTTGGTAGTTCTGTCCTTTCTTACCCCTTATGAAGTGCAGTCCTACTTCAGTTCTCTTGTAGTGCAGTCCTTCGTTGCTCTCTAGTAGCTCTATAGATATGTGACCTCTGTCCTCCATGGTACACCACATCCCGGAGCAGAATGTACAAGCAGAATAGGACATGAGGACTTTATATTGTATTCATAGATAACTTCAGAATAAAACCAGAACATTTATTCATTCATCATAAAATGACATTTACAATATCAATCAGATTATTACACCTATAAAGCCCCAACTTCTTATTCTGTTTGTACATTTTCTAAATAGTAGTGCAGTCCTCCTTTTAACTCTCTGGTAGTGCCATCCTTCTTTACCCTTCTGGTGGTGCAGTCCTCCTTTAATCCTCTAGTGGTATAGTCCTCCTTTGCTCTCTGGTGGTGCAGTCCTCCTTTAATCCTCTAGTGGTATAGTCCTCCTTTGCTCTCTGGTGGTGCCGTCCTCCTTTACTCTCTGGTGGTGCAGTCCGCCTTTTGCTCTCTGGTGGTGCAGTCCTCCTTTGCTCTCTGGTGGTGCAGTCCTCCTTTGCTCTCTGGTGGTGCCGTCCTCCTTTACTCTCTGGTGGTGCAATCCGCCTTTTGCTCTCTGGTGGTGCAGTCCTCCTTTTGCTCTCTGGTGGTGCAGTCCTCCTTTTGCTCTCTGGTGGTGCAGTCCTCCTTTTGCTCTCTGGTGGTGCAGTCCTCCTTTTGCTCTCTGGTGGTGCAGTCCGCCTTTTGCTCTCTGGTGGTGCAGTCCTCCTCTGCTCTCTGGGGGTGCCGTCCTCCTCTGCTCTCTGGGGGTGCCGTCCTCCTCTGCTCTCTGGGGGTGCCGTCCTCCTCTGCTCTCTGGGGGTGCCGTCCTCCTCTGCTCTCTGGGGGTGCCGTCCTCCTCTGCTCTCTGGGGGTGCCGTCCTCCTCTGCTCTCTGGGGGTGCCGTCCTCCTCTGCTCTCTGGGGGTGCCGTCCTCCTCTGCTCTCTGGGGGTGCCGTCCTCCTCTGCTCTCTGGGGGTGCCGTCCTCCTCTGCTCTCTGGGGGTGCCGTCCTCCTCTGCTCTCTGGGGGTGCCGTCCTCCTCTGCTCTCTGGGGGTGCCGTCCTCCTCTGCTCTCTGGGGGTGCCGTCCTCCTCTGCTCTCTGGGGGTGCCGTCCTCCTCTGCTCTCTGGGGGTGCCGTCCTCCTCTGCTCTCTGGGGGTGCCGTCCTCCTCTGCTCTCTGGGGGTGCCGTCCTCCTCTGCTCTCTGGGGGTGCCGTCCTCCTCTGCTCTCTGGGGGTGCCGTCCTCCTCTGCTCTCTGGGGGTGCCGTCCTCCTCTGCTCTCTGGGGGTGCCGTCCTCCTCTGCTCTCTGGGGGTGCCGTCCTCCTCTGCTCTCTGGGGGTGCCGTCCTCCTCTGCTCTCTGGGGGTGCCGTCCTCCTCTGCTCTCTGGGGGTGCCGTCCTCCTCTGCTCTCTGGGGGTGCCGTCCTCCTCTGCTCTCTGGGGGTGCCGTCCTCCTCTGCTCTCTGGGGGTGCCGTCCTCCTCTGCTCTCTGGGGGTGCCGTCCTCCTCTGCTCTCTGGGGGTGCCGTCCTCCTCTGCTCTCTGGGGGTGCCGTCCTCCTCTGCTCTCTGGGGGTGCCGTCCTCCTCTGCTCTCTGGGGGTGCCGTCCTCCTCTGCTCTCTGGGGGTGCCGTCCTCCTCTGCTCTCTGGGGGTGCCGTCCTCCTCTGCTCTCTGGGGGTGCCGTCCTCCTCTGCTCTCTGGGGGTGCCGTCCTCCTCTGCTCTCTGGGGGTGCCGTCCTCCTCTGCTCTCTGGGGGTGCCGTCCTCCTCTGCTCTC